TGATTGAATTTGCATGCAGAACTAGGTTTGTCCCCACGATTAACATTTTTGCATGCTAAAATTAGTAAATTGATAAATTTCCTCATGTTAATTAGTTTTCACGAATTAATAGAACATCCCAGCAACTACCTGCAGTTCTGTAGAATAAGCAAGTGATGTTAAAGGCCCTGCACACCCATGGTCCACCTGCACAGGTGCTTTTATTTGTTTTGCCTGATCATGTGAAGACAGAGTATGTTCGTTTGACATCTGCCTGACCATCCCTTTTGTTTTGTTGCACCTTTTAGGGTGGGACAATTTAATCCTTTATCATTCTTATTGGTTCCTAATGTTTTGTGACCTTGTTCAATTCCAGCAGATTTCTGCCCAAATGTAAACACAAAATACTTTTAAAATCATATGTTGAACAAATCATTATTTGCTGAGAATCTGTGTGATTGGTCATTTGCCATAGAGCGTGTGTGCTAAAGCAACTAAAATGTACCTAATAAATAATACAAAACATGGGCAAACTTGGTGTGGCAAGAGTAGCGATGCTTTGTATGTGTGTGTGTGTGTGTGTGTGTTGGTAGTTAGATGCAGCTTCGTACGTGACGTCTGTTGAAAAGAACATCTCTGATCTCATTTGCCACAAAGTGACATGTGTTGGTCTGTGCATGTGTGTGTGTAAGCAGAGTGCCAGTCAGGGTGAGGGCCTGCATCATACTCATCACTGATGACCTGTCTACTTCAGTCAGACCTCGTGGGTGTGTATGTTTGTGTGTGTGTGTGTGTGTGTGTAAAGAGGGCTGGGGGGAGTCTTAAAATGTCACTTGGCACTTTTCCCTGCAGCTCCATCATTGACCTGATGGTAACCTCAACACACACACACACACACATGCACACACACGCAGACACATGTGCATACTAAAGTTTGCTCTCCCTTTTCAGAGCAAATGTTGTAAACAGATAGGGAGTAAATAACTTGCAGACTTAAAACACATTGTCATACTGGTGTTAACAGTCAGTGATATGTGATTACCAGTGTTTTGGCAGTTAATGTTACATTATTGACACAGGTTTTAAAGTCAGAGTGTTGACGTTGTAAGGGTAGTAGTGGGCTAATTGATTAACCACTTGCTTAATGCTGACAGCATTAAGAACATGTTGGAACTTCATCGGGAGGCTCTAAACAGCAACACACACACACACACACACACACACACACACACACACACACACACACACACACACACACACACACACACACATACACACACACACACACACACACACAAAGCAAGCAGCATGTGCAAATGTACATAGAAATAAGCACAGAAACATATTCAGGGATGGGCTGACTTTTATTCATACCTTTCGCAATATATGTTTCAATGAAATCCTTTATTAGAATTTAAGAAAATATGGCAAAGTTCCCATTAAATCTGTGTTTAATCTGGTTTTACCACGACCAGCTATAACGTTGCCTCCATAAAATGGGTTCAAATTAGGAAAGGTGGGATTTGGACCATAAAACCTAAAACTTCTAAACAGACGCTCTAAACATCATTGATGAAAGTGGAAGCAAACTTTAACTTTCTCCTCTCTGAGAAGTTACATTGATAACACTAAATGCAAGACTGTGTCTTGGTCTGCTATCAGTTCTCTCTCTCTCTCTCTCTCTCTCTCTCTCTCTCTCTCTCTCTCTCTCTCTCTCTTCTCTCTCTCTCTCTTCTCTCTCTCTCTCTCTCTCTCTCTCTCTCTCTCTCTCTCTCTCTAAGATGCCAGCCGTAATGGCAGTGCCAGGCAGGTGATGGTGATGCCAAGCTGGAATGACACGCACTCACACACACACAAACATGCACAAACGTATCCCTACGGACGCTCTTAATTAGACTCCACCCGTCCCCCATGGTCCCTGTGGCAGGCGAGACAAAGGGAGGCTCACTCGTTTGGACGTATGAGTATGTGTGTGTGTGTGTGTGTGTGTGTGTATTGTGTGGTTGTGTCTGAGGGGCCTATCTTTAGCAGATGCTCATACCTCTCCCGTCTCTCTGTGTGCGGAGCAGTGGTGCTATCATTAAAGTGTCATTGAGAAGTGGCACCACTTAATTTTAGCTGCTCTCACTGGGGGCACTGAGGGAGACGCTGGAGACTGAGTATAGGGGGGGGGAGAGAAATGGAGACAGAGAGGGACGCTAGAAAGAAGGAAGGGGAAACGCATGTAGGTTTAAAAGAACATTTATACAAAAACTTACCGTAGCCACAGTCTCAACCACAGGAGACAGACTGAAAGAAGTGTCTGATCAAATGTAATGAAAAGGTTTGCTCAAACTGCAACATGTCGTTGTATCCTTGCTTGTGTGTGTTGCCTCCAAACAACTCAAACAAAACTCAGTTACCTGATCCAGCCTCTTTTACTTTGTCAAGGTTTTGTAATGAAGTTCGTTCCTGCATTGGCAAAAAAACGTCACCAAATTGGCAGTGTAATGTTGTGGAAATCTCCAGTCTGCAATTAAATGCAGGAAAAAAATGCCAAAACAAAGATTAAAAGAATGCAGCAAATAGAAAAACACTTTTTCTTCAATTGCTTGTGTTTTTCTGTTTGCTTGTGTTCACGAGTTGCTTTTGCTGAGTTCTCTCAGGTATAGTACTTCCCACCAAACTCAACACCGAACATTAAAAAAGTATGTTGCTGAATAAAAAATGTCCACTGTGTTTTATGAAGCAACACATCAGCCACCTGGGCTAACCACGGCGACTACTAACAACTCTGCAGCTGCTTCACAGTAAACGTCTTCCGGAGGATTCAAAAGGCGTAACCAGCTCTCTAGCCAAAACTAATTCTGCATAAAACAAGCTGCCTAATACTGATTCATGTGTTCTACAATTGGTGTGAAAGAAGAAAATAACTAAACAAAATACGACATACAAACAAAAAAGTGCGAGAAGGTAGGAATGAAAGAGGAAAAGAATGAAAACTACTGTGAGCAAGGGAGTATATTACACCTCTCTCAGCAATTTCCCAAACAACTGATTGCCCTGAGATGAGTTACATGAGACACACAAACACACACACACACACACACACACACACACACACACACACGCACACACAGCATCCTGGTGGCGTCGGGCTCAGTAATGAATCCATGTCTCAGGGACATCAGGTGAGAAGCAGCACTTCCTATGGAGAACCCAAAATAACAAAGTGGTCGAGTGTTTGGAAGAGAGAAGACAGATGGTCACAGAGACTGTGTACCTGTAGAGTGAAAGATAGGTGAGTGTATTTTAATCCATGAGAGAATGTAAAACAATATTGTAAATGCAGAGGCACGTTATATATATAAATGTATATGCTTATTACATTTCCATTGGGTCTTCCTGACTTGACCTTGACATCTATCCCTCCCTTCTTCCTGTCCGCCCGATTTGACAGTAAAATGTTCACACATTGTCGTTGTCTTCAAAAGCAGGTATAGACTTGTTAATCCTGCCCCCATCCACCCTCCACTGCTATCTGCTATTTAGATTTTGTCTGGAAGGCTAATGTGTTTTCATATGGCAGTTGCCAACACATACAGAACATTCTTCCACAGTCTCCACAAACTGTTACTTTACTGGAGGGACTTTTAAAAGTCTTTTTGACTCCCTGTTGCCACACAGTCTTCTCTTTCTCACCCTTCCAGCCTGCCATCACGTTCTCCCTTCCAACTCCATTCAAGGTCCTTCAGTTTTTAATGCTAGACAGCTTTGTGAAGTTTTCCAACTTACTCAGCTTTAGAAATGGCACTGACTGAGTGTGAGATTGCATTTAGCTGCAGAAGCTACTAGAACAGAGAATAGTCTGGACGTGACATCAAGACTTCAGCTCTCCACAATAATAAGTGTAGAGTAATGCGTTTAGAAAGCCCTCACAAGTTAGGTTGATAAACTGAAAGGAAGTTGGGAAAAGAAATGGAGACACAGATGTATCATCAGAATTGCTAAATTACTAAAAAAGACTGTAATGAGATGGTACCTAAGCACGAATTAGGAGGACCAAAAGTTTGTTTTTTGACTGCTGCTTTAAAAGCAATATCTGCGGTTGTGCTGATCCTTTAATATCAGAACCACCTACACTATTATGAATACAAAGCATGTGTCTCAGTCCTTTTCCCAACCACAATGCCCTTCTTTCTTAATTCACTACGCACTTCCTACAGTCTCCTCTCGCTCACCTCTCCTTGCAGCCACCCACTGCTCCCTCCACCCCCATTCTCTCCTTGTTTGACGCTCACTGTCATACAATTTTGGCATCTGCTCCCTGAACCACCTCCAACATGTCTCCTTACCTTCTCCCACCCATTAAAACTCCATAAAGTCTTGTACTCACTTTACATCTCTGTCCTTCGCTCTTTGTTTTAATCTCTGTCTGCATGCTGTGTCTGTGTCTTGTCTCATACCATGTGGTGTACTCGATAGGGCAGCTGACTCCGAAGTACTGATATGAATCTCTGTGTGCTGTTGGCTGGGGTTTGATTGTAGCACTTTCAGTGTTGGGACCCTTGGTGTCTTTTAGCCCTTTCTTCTATCAGGATGGGATCCTTCTTCAACCCTAGTCTACAGACTTGTCTGCTTTTTGGCTGCAGGCCCTATAAAGTAGTCCCTTAAACATGGATTTTGTACAGTCATTACAGTCATTTTAGCAGACGCTTTTATCCAAAGCAACTTACAATTCAGAGTATATCACATCTCTACACCGTAGGCACAGCTACAGGAGCAATTTTGGGGTTAAGTGTCCTGCTCAAGGACACATCGACATGCGACTAGTGGAGCCCGGGGATCGAACCACCGATCCTCTGACTGAAGGACGGCCCTGCTCTCCACTTAGCCACAGTCGCCCGTTTTTTTATCACCAGAAGGGACACGAGTGCTTTATTGTCTATTTTAATCTAAATCTGACCATAATTTACTAAATGAAGCTCATGCTGATTTGAAGAAGACTTGAAACTAGCGATTGAGACCATGTTTACTGAGGTGATATATCAAGTGTCATATTCTCATAGACTTCTGTTTAAAGGTCTACTTTTCTGAAAGGTCAGGCCTCAAAGTCACAGGGCTGGTTACAGTAGTGACCATAACATACCACAACAGTGATGACATCAAGGAAGTGTAATGTAATGAGTCTTCAGTTGCTGTTTGACTGCCGTGTTTGTGCATTTGGACCGTTAATTAATGGTCCAACGTGTTTCCATTGTACTCAGAGCAAACCAGCATTTAATCACAGAGGGTGATTTGTCATGGCTGCAACATCTGTCCCTTACAAGTATTACTGCACCCTACATCCTGTGTGTGCGTGTGTGTGTGTCATTTACAAAGTAGGATACAGTCCTAAGGTTTGTGTTATGAGTGGATCACGATAGTCTGCCATGAAAGGAGATGAAGGTGAAAATAACACAAAAAAATGAAAGGAGATAATTAAACGCTAGAGGAAGAGAGGAGATAAACAAGAAACGGTAAGGTGAAAAGGACTAAGGGAAAAGTAAAGAGAAGGAATGAGAATAAGATTGAAAATGGGAAAGGAAAACAGCGGTGACAAAAGAGAACTGAAGGCGACCGGAGGTGAGACAGGAGTCGAGTGGGGACCTGAAGAAGGGATGAGAAAGGAGAGGATGAGGAGGAAAAAGGAGTGAGGCCCTCTTCATTTATTGCTCCAGTGGAGAAGAACGTAGAGCTCTCTAATGGCGCTGCCGTGGTAATAACAATAAAAACCACGAGAAAAAGAGAGAGAAGAGAGACGGAGAAAGAGAGACAAAAAGAGAGAGGTTAGGACAGAGGGGGAAACATAAAGCATGATTGTTTTCTTTCTACATTTCCATATTTTCCCATCTAGCTCCCCCTCTCTTTCTTTCTCTGCACCCTCCATCCAATACACACACACTCACTCTTTCCCTCTCTTCCTCTTTTCTGTCTTTCCGCTGTTGGCGCTGTGTGTCCTTGCTCTATGCTTTGTTAGGCAGGGCAGTGGCACTGCTGTAGTTGCTGTGTCAGGGCTTTCTATTGGTGGTGATTAATGTATGGAGATGGACTGATCGTCACCAGCCACCAACAATATTCTCACCGCGGGCCCAGTGGAGGTGCGCACAGCGGTTAGCGGACATGGAGACAACAGCCTGCACATGGGTGTCAGCAGCACTGAATCATGCATGCTTCTTGTATTTGGACACATATCAGACACACATACAAACATATAAAAAGTGCATTCCATTCGTTAAAGGAAAAAAGTTGTTCTCATAAATATGACATTCTTACCTTCTAATTTTGAGAAATGATGGAATTAAGAGTGAAATCTCATGACAGACATCCATATCAAAAGATGACAAGGTCACAGGCAAAGGTCTTGTTTAGTTTTAGTTCTCTTGGAAGTGCAAGATGTTGGTTGTTTTAATACCGAGATTAAAGATTTCACAATTATGAGATTCTAAGTTATAATTACAAGAAAAATGTATTTTTGTGTGTAGCAATCCTTTTCAAGCTGCAGTGAGACACCGACTTGGAAAAGCGATACTTTTTACATCATGACATATCTCTCCTTTGGGGATCAATAAGCAGAACATCACACCTCTTGTGTTAAATAAATAATATCTGTCTCAACTAAAGATGCGTCAGTAGCGAGGCAATGTGACACAACAGACATGATGCGGCCAGCGGTGTCCTCATTACACCAGATCTTTATGAATGAATCTGAAAAACTGTGAGCGGCTGAAAAACAGAACTATAAAATAAGCTGGAGTGCCGAAAACAGTTGTTATTTAATGAGTGTAATTAACAAGTAAAATTTGAGCAGCTAACGGCGTGCCAGCTTATTTCGGCCCACAGTGCATGTCTGTGCATGTGTGTGTGTGTTGTGATTAGGCCACTGAGACAGTAGATAAATTAGCTTTGGGAAGAAAATGAAAGTGCAAGAGATACTGGGTCGCCCTGTGAGAGTTCATGTCGTAAGTAGCCACACACAAACACACACACACACACACACACACGCACACGAACACACTAAACCTTCCCTCCCTTCCTTCCTATCCACCTTCCCATCCATCAGGCCATCTCAGGGAGCTGCCCGCGGTTCCACTGGCTGGTTTAATTGTTAATGCTAATTGCTATTTATTGGCTCAGATGCAAATGATAGGCTGGCCAAAGTGAAATTTTATGAGGAGTGAACTCCCCCTCTCACACAAATTGAAAAAGTGAAACAAGAGGAAGAGGGAAATGAGGCGAGAAGAGAGGAGCTTAATGGCGGCTCTTTAATGGCAGAGAGCAAAAATTAAGACTGATTTAAGACACAGAGCTAAATCCCCACCAAAATCCTTTGTGATCCCCTCTCAGGAAAACACCCATTTGGCACAGGAGAAGAGGAAAAGAGAGGAGAGGAGAAATTTGAAACTGATTTAGTCCTGAAAGCTTGTTGTCAATACTACATATTAAAAATTTAAAAAATATTTGGATTTTTAATTTGTTTCAAGAGTAAAATTAGCGGGCAGTTCTTGACCCTAAGCCCTGAAAAAACTTTAAAAGTAAATAAGTTCTGAAACAAAAAAAATCTGCATAGATAGCCAGATATACGGACAGACTGATAGACTCCGCTTCCCACTTGATAACGGCAAAGACACAGTGGAATAATTGTATTAGAGGAGAGCATATGGAGAATGACACTGGGCTAAGGTCAAACTGAGCCCGCGGCAGCCTCTCACTGGCTCCGTTTATACCAACTGAGCTTGCACTTGAACATCATCCACTTTCTAATACACTCTAAAAGGCAAAGCAGTATTTGCACAGCACATTATCTTAATGTAAGCCTGAGAATGTGTGTGTGCGTCCAAGCACAGGACAAGCTTTGCGGTCCTGTGTGACACAACATTGTCCTCTTTTTAGGCTCGCTCATTTGTTTTTCATCCATCCATTACTCCCGTCCTCCCTCCTCTCCATCCCTCACTCCATCACTCCATCACTCCGTCTGATTGAAGGATTTTTTTCTACATCCTCAAGGTGTGATCGCCCCGCCAATTAAAGACCAATCCAATCTGATCTGAGCTTCTGCGTGTTTATGTGTGGGGGAGCAGTGTGTGTGTGTGTGTCTGCATGTATACACTTATATGTATGAGAATGCACGCACATGTGTGTGAGTGTGAGTGTGTGTGTGAGATGTGAGATCTGAGAGGTTAATGCAGTTAGGGTTATTTCACAGTCCATTAAGAAGCTTATGTTGACTTCCTGACCCTAAAGCCAACAACACAGAAACCATTATCATAACAATAGGACTGTGTGCGCACGCATGTGTATAGATGTGTGTATGTGTGACTGTGGACTCCATTTGACATGGTTATGCCATGTGGAAAATCCAAGTATGAGAGCGATGATCAGAGGGGCAGAAAGGTAAAGAGAGAGAGAACGATACGGACGCCACGACAGCAAGAGAGAACACAACTTCCTGTCATCTTTATCTCTGTGATTACTGAAGGTTTAGTCATTCAATGTGTACTATTATAGTTCACAGAGTGGAGGAGGAAGGACAATCAGTGGCCATGCAAAAAGAAACAGAAGATGCTGACGCCAGACCTTTTTTTTTGTTGGTGGAGAATTTGATTCAATTACGTAGAGAGCAAAACCTAGTAGTCGCCGTATGTTCTGAGTGTGGTGTGTGTGTGTGTGTGTGTGTGTGTGGTTGACAGATGAAGCCATCACTGGAAAAATAAGATTGTCAGCTGTGAAGACAATATGAGTTAAACAGCAAAAAAAAAAAGCATGACTGTAAAATAAATGGAATTTTCCACCTTGCATTAAGACTGCAGTACGTCTCCGTGAAATAAAGATTTCTGTGAATCTGTGGAGTGCTTTATTGATTCATTTTCCTTTCCAACAATGAAATGATCAGTAATATGACATTAGAATACTTAAATACTTATTTTTATTTTATTTTTTCCAAATCCCAAAATTCCTAACATGTTTCTGCATTTGTGAGCTGGGTTGAAAAAAGTGTAAATTCAACAACAGAAAAAAATTCATTACCTACCTCTTTTAAACTATATATCACTGTATATATAGATGTATACACTATATATACTGTATCAAAATACATTTACAAACAAAAACAAGCAACTTATAAATGTATAAACCCCCTTTGTGAACTAAATTGATGTAGTTATACAAAAAAATTGATAAATGTTTCATATTTCACAGAGAGAAAAGGGGGTATAAATTGTCAAACATGTTTCTGGATGGAGTACTTACTATAAAACATGAAACAATCCAAATATTCAAATAACAATCCCACCTTTAAACAATATCTCTTTCTCTCAATTTCTCTCCTGTAATTCATTTACTTCAATCTCTCTCGCTCTCTTTCTCATCTGTTTATCCACTTATTTCCCTAACACTGGGTGGCTAACCCTGACCCTCACCTTGCCCCTCACTATCCACACCTCTAGGATGGTTATTGATCCACATGTACACATCCACACACACACACACACACACACACACACACACACACACACACACACACACACACACACACACACACACACACAGAGGCCTGGCTGCTGTGTCCACGGCTAATGGGACAAGCAGGGCCAGTCTGGGTCTGGATGGGTTACAGTTTGGAGGCCTATAAATAAACTGACAATACCCGAGGGAATGCCTAAATTGAATTTATTACATTTTTGGTCACAGCTTGAAAGATTTTATTTGTAAAGAACAGGATTCACACTTATGGAATTGACAGCTAGACACGTGAGGATGATACTAAAAAAAAAAAAAATAACTGAAAATGAAATATTATTGATACTGCTGCTACTTCATCAATCTTTACTTCGATAGTGTAACATGAACCCTCTTTTGGCAAAAAACAACTTGACTCAATGAGGAGTCACCAAATAAGTTTACAAGGAGCAGATAAGGATGAAAAAACAAAGAAAAACTTCCCTCCTTTGCTCATCCTACCTCCTCACACACACACACACACACACACACACACACGCACACACACACACACACACACACACACACACACACACCCTTCACCTCTGCTCTCCCCTCAGATGTTTAGTGTTTGAGTGTGTGCACTGAAATCAGTCAGTTACAGTATGTATTACACCCCGTGTGGTTACCTATGTGCATCTGACAGTATGTAGTTATGTGAGTGTGTGTGACAGCACACACAGACAGTTGAAATTGATATCCCTGGCTGTGTCTTTGCATCCCAGGCAATATGTTGCCTGTTCAAACTGATGGATGGGAGGGGGGCAGAGCCCTGGGGACCCTTGCCTTAATCAACCACACACACACACACACACACACACACACACACACACACACACACACACACACACACAGCAATAATTTGAGCACGAACAACTTAAGACAGTATGGTGTGCATGTGTCTACCTCTGTGTGTCTGGAATCAAAAACTTTGAATAATGATCATGAAAGCCTGTGTGCTCCCTTAAAAAAAACACAAACACTATTGAATGTAAACAAAAAATGCATAGGTTTACAGACACAGAATGCGTGCAAACATACGCTACACACACATCCTTCCGCAGCCATATGTGTATGCACAGAAATAGAAGCGCGTACATTTTTCCATACTTGTGCATGAAAACGTTCTCCTCGGAAGTCTGAGATCCGCAGTCCATGTAGGATGAGAAGTACCGACAGAACGAGACAAGAGATGTCAGCAAGGGGAACGGGGGAGAGAGAGCGAGAGAGAGAGAGAGAGAGAGAGAGAGAGAGAGAGAGAGAGCGAGAGAGAGAGAGAGAGAGGAAGATGAGGTAGGGACAAGAGAGAACATTTAGATTATAATGAAAACATTTGCATTTGTTGTGCAAAAAAGTTTCAGATCTGGCAAACTATGCATCGTAGTTTATTTTGTGAACGCCATAAATATTGTAATTACAATGAAAAATAAGAGCAATATATTTTGAATCACATGTTTACTATTTTGGTTCAGACATTATTCTTAATCTTTGATTTTGTTGCCCCAATTTCCTGCAAATTTGTTATATGTTCAGGTTTAAATGAGTCATCAACATTGCCTTTTACAACATGTCGTTTGCATTAATACAATATTATCACATCACGTTTCTACTTAATACATTTAATATTTAATGAGAAGTTAAACAAAATATTTCCAATCGTTAACTATGAGCATATTTCTCCCAACATAAAGACTCAAATGACCCTACGGTGTGGAGTGTTTTTGATATTCATCTGCTTATCTAAAGCGAATCAATAATATTCGTTTAATTCCTTCATCATTCCACAATCTGAATAAATCCATCACTTATATTAACTTGATGTAGAAAATTGAATTTCAGCTGTACATTAAGCTGTGATTAAATTTCTATTTGAAATATTTGTCTTTGGTCTCACGTAGTTTCACCTCTCTGCAGCTGAGTGTCTGTGTGTGTGTGTGTGTGTGTGTGTGTGTGTGTGTGTGTGTGTGTATATGCACACACTAACTCTGTTTTAATGACTCTGGAAGCTGTTTATCAGTGAAGGGTATACAATGCTCTGTTGTCAGTACTGTCCAAAACAACACTGGGACAAAGAACACACACAGACATACACACACAAACTCACATTTAGATGACGACGCTCAGTAAATTGTCCTTCACACAGCTCTCCCTGTATATTGACTGTGTCTTTTTTCTCAAGCTGACGTTATTGTCAAATTGTTTCTCAAACGGGACACAATTGAAAAGGCGGACAGTTGTTCAATGGCTTGAGTTTTACCATTGATTACCAATAGGGCCGTCTATTCGTCTGTCGGCATGGAGAGAAAGCTCTGTACTCATCCCACGACCGTTCTTTTTATTTTTTAACACACACACACACGCACACAAGTGCACACGCATACGCACAAACACAGGTAGACATTTGTGTCCATGCATATGCACACATATCCCCTTTCATTTAAATATTGCCCCTGTCCCAACGCATTCTATTACTTGATACAGATCAATTGAAGCCAAGGAGACACCACACACGCACGCACACACGCACACATACAACAAACTGTGTGTAGCCCGCAGGCAGATGGTATCTGCAGTAGACGCTTGTTATTCTCAACAACTCTGATATGGAGATCATTAGCACAAGGAAAACACTAAAATACGTTGAAACACCTGAAGCGTATACACGAGATAAAACTTTTTACTTTGGAAATCACCATATTAAAGCAGCCATGTGTGTGATTTTTCTCTGTAATATAATGCTGTTAAATCATTGAACACATATGCCGCAGCAAAAAACTCAAGATATGGAGATTCTTGGACGTGAGGAACATTTTAAAATAGATGCAATGACAGACAAACTGGAAAATGTTATTCAAAATGTAGATTTTTAACAGAAATATATATATAAAAAAATTCAAAGATAGAATATCCCCCATAATGTTCCCCCTGAGACAAATACTGTATTATTGTTGTTCAGCAGTAAACATATTGCTCTGTCCACAAACTTGTGAATTATGTTGCTATATTCCATTTTTGTTACATTTCTCTCTCAATTTAACAAAACTTGTTCGAGAATGTCCAATGTAAATAAAATAAATTAATAAAAATGTGATAGGATGTCCTCACAGTACGTCAGTAAATAAAGGATGACGATAACTCATTTACATCAGTGTACAACATGCCTTTCAAAGAGCCGGGTCAGTAAGGACTATAGGTCCCAGCAGAAGGCAAGCGTTCAGTGGCTTTGTAACACTAGAGGATGTTTCGTATCAATGACTTAAAAATAAATAAATAATAATGTGCTTTACTTCCATAAATGCAAAGATGTGTAAGTGCACAGTTAAGTTAGTGTCAGTTTGTTCAAACAAGTCAAAAAGTGAGAGATTTAGACCTATGTAGACAAATCATCACTTAAACCACAAAGCCATTTGTATCTATGTGATTTTAACATATTTTGTATATCATGCATAGTACCACCACTTTTATCTCAAGCTGTTTTGCTGCAAAAATCATTTTCTCTTCTCCGACAATGAAGAATTGTCCTGAACGGATCTCTGTAAGCTGCCCCAGAGCAAAGATGCGCACAGAAAGTACTTGGATTAGTGTGAAAATATTCTGATCACAAATTAAGACACTTTTCCAAAGGTTATTTATTGTGCAATGTGTTACATGCAGATTAACATCTACTGTAGCACTTACTTTACAAAAACATGAATCAATCAGTGGCAGTCAGTAGAAGAAGTTCAAAGGAAGTAGAGGAGCCAAGAGAAAAGAGAAGAGAAGATGACACTTGAAAAAAAAGAGAATGAAAGAATAGACAGAGAAGAAGAAGATGGAGACTATTTTTCTCCTTCTCCGTCCCGTTCTCCTTGGTGGCACTTTCCAACAGTAAATGAATAAAAAGGTGTCTTTGTGTGTGAGAGAGAGGAACACAAAGCAAGGGAGACAGCGCAGGATAACATTACAAGGCCCTAAGGTGTACGTATATGTTTGTAGAAAAGTACTCAGTGCTCTCGTGCGTTGCTTCCTCCCTCTCTGTCTCTCTGTTTGTGAGCGCGTGTGAAAGAGACAGTATCTGAGGGAGCGTGCGGTGCTAGATTGATGTGTACCGCCGGCATGGCCGTTTCTGCTGAGAACGGCCACACTCCTCTGCCTAATGATGCCACATCCATCCTGGAGCGCCGAGCGCTCCGTGGGTAGGTGTATGTGTGTGTTGCGTGTGTGTCCACAAGGCGTCTATCCTGGGGGCTACAACGCAGCACCTTACACAGCCTTTGATCACTCTTTATTTGGCACTGAGCATGTGTGTGTCCATATGAGTGTGTGAGTGCAGGAGTGAAGGGTCCTATGCGGCCATTAATATTAAATATAGATACCCTTGTCAGTGAATTACATCCCCTCATCCCATATCCTCCTCTCAGGGAGGAGAGGTGAGAAGGGAGGAGACACGGGAGGTGAAGGAAGGGAGAGATAAAGTATGGAGGGGAGAGCAGGAGGACAGGAGGTGAACCGGGGGAGAGAGCGAGAATGGTAGAAAAAAGGGGGGTGAGGAATGGTTATTGCATAGGAGGAGGAGAGAAGAAGAAGAGAGGAAAGAGTGAGGAGGTAGAAGGTGGAGGAGAATTAGGAAAGTGCATGATGAGGAGTTTGAATGGGAAGAGAGGAGTTGGAAGGCAGGGAAAGAAAAGGATGAAGAGGTACATGGAGAGGATTATGGCAGACCTTCTTGATGAAAGTGGCACATAAACATTTAACTTGACCAGAGAAAGGGAGGGAGAAATTAGGGTAGAAGAAGGAGAGAAAAGGAAGTGATTAGATGGAGTTGAACAATACAGAGCTAGTGCAGGAAGCTACAGATTAGAAGAGAATGAAGGAGATGTGAAGGTAGAGAGGAGTAAGGGAGGAGAAAGAGGGACTACAGAGGGGACTAAGGGGTTTAGGGATGGATGGAGGGAGGGAGTAGGGGGCCAGCTGATTGATTGTGCAGAGTGTTGGAGACTTGAGGAAAGAGGGATGAGGAGAGGGGGAAAGGGAAAAGAAAACAGAGGACTGAATCCATCACTTCGAGGGAGGAACCGAAAGGAAGGCATTGGCATGCAAAGACAGAAACAAGAGCGAGAGAGGATCAGCAAAAGAGGAAAGAGGTACAAATGAGTCAACAAAGTAAGCTGTAGTGAAATAGAGTAGACAGAGAGAGAGTAAGAGAGACATCAACAGACACCGAGATTTGTTGGATGAAGATGAAAGAGAGCAAGAAGTGATTGAGTGATGACGGATGGAGGAAAAACAACGAAGTGAACGGCAGCAGCTTTGACCTGTCATCTGTCTGTAATGAAGGAGGGAAGGGAAGAAGAGAGGAAAGGAGGAGTGACAGTTTGATTTTCCTAGCCAGGCGTTCATTCCCATATTCCCTGGCAAGCTCTCACCTGATGGAAAGATGGCAGAAAATCAATACTCCATGTGCGTAATGGAGTAATGACTCTGAGTGTATGTGTGTGTATGTGAGTGTGTGGATAATGATAAGTGTGTGTGTATCTGCCCGATCCCTAAGCAATCACACACAGCTTAAGCCAGTCCCAAGGGGTGGGGGCCACTTTAACTAACAACTTCATTACTGCAGCCACACACACACACACACACACACACACACACCAAAACATGCCCTAACACAAACCCTGTTGATCATTCACAATTTTACTTTTACAAATACGGTTCAGTCAGAAAGTTTTACATATGAAATATCTAATTTTATTTTGAAATGATCTCACAAGCATTTTACATTTAAAACATTTGATTTGAACGCCCATATACAGAGTTTACTCCACCTACAGACATCAGCGATTCACAGTGAATGTAGAACCTTTGTTTACAAGACTGTTTGATGTCCACTGGTGGTACATACAATGTGATGTAAATACACCCAAATACGTAGGAGACCATTTAATTATCTTTAAAGGGCAACAAACAGTCCAGGTGTATCAGCATGGTATCCGTGTGTGTGTGTGTGTGTGTGTGTGTGTGTGAGTGTGTGTGTTTATCCCAACAGCCCTCAAAGTGTTTCCAGTCTCTGCCAAGTTGTTCTGAGGCTGTGAAAACATTCCCAGTTCTGGGAATGGGAGGCCCTGGCAC